TTAGAAATGACAGAGACATCTCGCTGCCTGGACAGTCACCCAAAGTTCTTCTGTACAGTCGGGGCATCCATCTTCAGCCTACAGGCCCTTAGTATCCAACAGACATTTCCAGGAAGCAGGAAAATTCAAAGACAGTTCAGTCACTTTCTTCAGTATCCTGCAGAATGTCCCACAGACTCTTTCATAAAGCAGGAACCCTGAAAGACCATCTCACCTTTAGACAAGTTCAGCAGTCCTCTCTCTGTGGGTTCTTCATGTCCAGTTCATGCAACAGTCCAGGCAAGAACAGTTTCTTGCCTAAATGGCTATCAAATTTTATGAGAAGCCTCTTCTATGCCCATCTTCCTCTTGAAGTTGCTGGTGCTTCCAGCAGCATACATGTCTCATTGTCATGAAAAAAAAAAGCCCTAAGTTATTAAAACATTTTCAATGCCATATTCTGTAGTCTTTGAAACATATGAAGAATGCCTATCTAACTGAAATATATCTCTATTAATCTAGAAAATCTAACTAACATGACTACAAGCTTGACTATTATCAATGATTATCCATTAACAACCTATATTCCCTAATTATACATTACATTTTTAAATGAACTACACAATTATAATACCTTAATCAAGAACAGAAATATACATCTAACAATATTGACCTTAAATTTATATCACTGAAGCAAAATCCATACCAATGTAAATTATTCATATCTATATCAAGGACCTCAGAAAACACTAGGGGGTGTAGCTACTCCCTCCCCTTGATTAACAAGAATATTCATGTGGAGTAAGTGTAAGCAACCCAAAATACACATAGAGCCCTGCAGAATGCAAAGGATAAGATAAAATTTATAACCACACATCACACCTCCAGGTCTTCAGCACCACAGATGACCTCGGGACAAAACTGAAGAAAGCAAGCCTTTCCAGGTAGGAATCTTGTCCTGTCCTTGTTCTCAAAGAGGAGGGGGACACTCTATCTTTCCTTTCTTTCCTGAGCTTTTTGTCCTATCATTACAATGTGGTTTCCAATTGACATTTAGGTCCTTAGACAGATTTAGGAAAGCTTTGGCAAGGAAGACCAGGCTGTTGTTAGACCCCAGGGAAAGAGGAAAGCTCAATCTGGGAATAATATCTAGAGCCACTTTCAGGGCAGCCATATTTGATGCTTTGTTCCATGGACCTTTGGGGATTGCCTTTTGAGGCCTTTTACACTACACAATGGCTACCTCTCTTGGCAGACATGACATCTTACATGGCCAGGATATTTTTTGTTGTGGTGGTTTATGTATTTATTTAGTCTCAGTGTGAGGTAAGAACCCCCTCTCTCTATAGAGGGTCCCACAGACATGGGTTATGGCAAGTGAATAGCAACTGTTCCCACAGGGAGGGCTTTGTCCTTCTCACAGTGAAGAGCTGGGTAAAGGCCAGAAGCACAGCCCTTTACTCAGAAGCCCCTCAGCTGAGAGACTGGACCCATACCTTTGCATCCAAGATGAAAGCTGGGCCCCAGCATAGCTGTTCTGTCCTTGAACAAACTTCTCCTATTCCTCAGATCTGGTGTTGGACTGCACTGACCACTTTCAGAAGTGCAGATACCACAGAGCCCAGATGGGAAGTCAGAGACTCCTCATCCTGTTGTAAATGGGGTACTCTCAGCCCAGACAAGGAGGCCAGAATGACGCTTTATGATCTTGAGGTTTTTATTGAGCCACATAGACTTGGCCAAAGTCCCACACATGTGGGACTGTAAGTCTAGAATCATTTATGAGCTGAGTGAGAAGGGACCTTTTAGAGACAAAAAAACACACAAGATTGGCACATTTCTCTAGTCTCAAAGACTTAGCATGTCCCAAAGCCTATGTGCCCTTTGCACTTCCACTCAGTTGGAACAGCCATTCTGAAGTCATAGAGCTTTGGTTATGGTTTTAGATTTTCACTGTCAATTGCATGTATATGAACTTACTCACCACTAAATAAGAAAAACCTATGGCAGAGCTGAAACAAAAAAAAAAAAAAATATTTTCTCCATAACATTTTTCATGACTGACGGGCTCTTTGCCTGCATCCCGTCCTGCCTTGTCACCATATGTCACTGTATTTGTCAGGGTTGTCTACAGCAATAGAACTTATAGAATGAATTGTCTCTGTCTATAGAAAGGGTATTTATTAGAACGACTTACAGGCACTGATCCAGCTAGTCCAGCAATGGCTGCCTATGAACAGAAAGTTCAAGAATCCAGAAGTTGCTCAATCTATGAGACTGGATGTCTCAGATGGTCTTCTGGAGATGCTGAATCCCGAAGAAATAGGCTCTAATGCAGTGGTTCTCAACCTTCCTAATGCTGAAAGCTTTAATACAGTAACTCATGTTGTAGTGACCCCCAATTTTAAAATTCTTTACATTTTACTACTTTGTAACTGTACTACTTTTGTAACTGTAATTTTGCCACTATTATGAATCATAATGTAAATATCCGATAAACAAGGTATCTGATATGTGACCCCCAAAGGAGTAAAGACCCACGGGTTGAGAAACACTGCTCTAATGCCAGTGTGGGAATGGATCTGCTAGCATGAGGAAAGCAAGCAGGCAAAGAGCAAGTTGCCACGGACCGTCCCTCTTGGAGACCGCTATCCATGGGAGAACAGGGTTGAAGGATAGGATAGCCAGGATACGATGCAAGGGAATGACAGACAGACACACTGTGTAGTGAAAATCTGCTGCAATTTTACTTCTGCAAAGCTTNCATAAATCAAGATTAAGCATAACCAAAATAGAGCTTCTTCTACGTGCTCCTTTCTACGTGTTCCCCCTTCCGTGCTCAAGATGTTGGCAAGGACTTTTAGTTTTGTTTTGTCTTTTAGAATTCTGTCTCACACCATTATTTACTTTCTACCGTGGGTGACTAGTTCTCAGGGTCCTGTGTTTAGCTTTCCATCTATATAGGTTTTTATTCTTTGCTCCATATTCCCTAATAGTTTTCTCGTTTCCTCATGATAGTTCCTATACCAATATATTAAAGCTGGTCTCATGTTTTCAATAATTTCCTTTCTTTCCTTTTTACTATAAAGACACCAGGGCTTCCGAGATCTAGCTAATCTTTCCATAAAGGGGAATTTTCTCTAACTCTCCTTTTCTCTCTAAATCTGATTCACTATGACGATTCCCTCGTAACATTTCAACTTTAGCCGTTTCTGTTTCATAATTAAGTTTCCCAGGCTCATGTGGCGTGGGGCATACTTTATTTCCTCAAGGATTGCTTTAATGAACGGTGGAGCAGAGCCAAGGACGTACTTTGATCTCTTGGTAAGCGGTCAGCTGCAAACAGGAAAATTAAGAAATACAGAGAAAGATCATACAGGGTGTCAGGAGGGCTCGCTCTCAAGGCCATCTCCAGATATGAGATTTGCCTACGGCATCAGGTCCTATCTTGACCACCGATTGCCAGGGGACCACCTGGGGCTTCGCTCCAAGAAGCTCTAACCCCAATCCTTCAGCAGGCAAAAGCCAGCGCAGAGGCATTTTGTCACTACACGGCAGTCACTGCTGTGGACTTGGCAGCAAGTCCTGCTGCGCCTGTCAATCATGTGACCAAGAGCCCACCCTCAGCAAGGCTTATCCACCTAAAGCCCTGCTAAAGAGGCTGCAGGAGACAGTCTTTCTCTACTGAGATAATGTGCTTTTCCTTCCCTGGAACTCCACTCTGTGGTCACTGTGGAGCTGCACCAAGCAGTCTGTGAAGCTGGCTGGCTTTTCTGAGCTCTAAATCAAAAGATCTGAGCTTCTCCATGCTCTGATTCTCTGTCTCTTTAGGAGGCTGGCCAAAGGCAGACTTTTTCACTTCTCTGGACCAACCTTGCTGCTTGCTGCCATGTGACTCCTTTCTCCTCATGGTTGAATGGATGTGTTTGACTTAACAGGCTTTTTCTCTTTGTGTTTCCTCCTTCCTTCTAGTTATACATTAAACAAAGATGCCCTTTGTATTCAGAGCATTAGAAGTCTCACAGCTTCTCTCATCTTTAATCAGGTAATGAGCCACTCTTACTATCAATGTCCCCAGTAAAAGCTCTGAAGGCTATTTCACTCTGAAGGTTATTTGTTTCTTTACCTGCATATAGAGCTGTCCTCACTTGCTTTCCTTACTATTTGTTTAAAATTTAAACTCAAAGTGTTTATAAAGGAAATTCTTAAGTATATACACACTAGATAAAATGGTATGATATATTTTGTCAGCACTGGCTTTTCTCAAAGAACTGGGAGTTTTGGCAAGAGGAATAAAGAACCTGGTAGCAGCTACAGAATATTTTGCTTACATAAAATCATCCACATTCCTCACAAATTTGCCTCTTTGCATTGTATGTTTGCACTGTTTTCCAGAACACTCATTAGTCTTTACTAAAACAAGCAAGTGAGCAAAGAAAAATTAAAGTAAGGACAGTGGGAATAAAATAAATATAAAAGAGTGAAGCAGACCATTTTCAAAATCCAGAAGACAGTTTCCTTTCTGTAGACTGAAACAGAAATCCCAGAAGATCCTTCCTTTCTATAATTTACCACAAACCAGAAATGCCAGAGAACTTGCTGGAGTGGGGTTCAACTTCTACTGCCTCCCCTCCCCACCTTCCCTTTGAACCACACTGGATCTGAAAACCCCAGGCCCCAGCCCCACAGAGAACATCGTCAGCTGTGCACATTGAGAGCTGTGCTGGTAGAGTTTCCTTTGGACATAAGGAGTATAATCCACAGCAATTTCCTGTAAATCACCAGAGTGCATATTACCAGAAAGAGTAGAATAGAAAGCGAAAGACACACACAAACACAAACTAAACACACACACACACACACACACACACACACACACTACAAACAAACCAAAAAAAAAAAAAAAAAAAAAAAAAAAAAAACAAAGAAAACCCCAACTCAAATAAACCAACTGTCAGGACAAATGACAGACTTCCATGCTACTAACATCCCACAATGCACGCTGGCCTCCAGGCTCACTCAGGACCTGTGACTCCCTCAGCTCCTCTCTCCCCACCACCTACTCTAAACTCCAGCTCACTGGCTTCCCTTTTCCAGCCTCTCATTCCTACATAACCCTGTCATTTTGGCCATGCTCTCTCTTTATCTTCCTCTCTTGGTTCTCCTCTCTCACTCTCCTCTGCTCTTTATTCTCCCAAGTTCAGGTTTAGTCTACTCTTTGCTCTCCCCACTGTGAACTCTTCCAGATGCCTCTGGCCATGCTGTTCCTCATATCTTCAATAAAACCTTCCCCTCAAACCTACCTGAAAATGCTCAGGTCTTCACTTCATTCACTGACCAAACAAAAACTATGGCTCAGGCCTCATAATTAATTCACTGCCCATTTCTCTTGCCTGGTTATACTTAAGCTTGACAAGATAGGAGGGGCCATTGTGACATGGGATGACATGTAGGAAGAACCAGCCTGCCTCCATCTTATGCTTAAAAGCCATTTTATAGTAAAGACAAAATAGGTTCATTTCTGTTTATGATTAAACCTCTGTTTTCATGTATTGGGCTATGCTCCCCTGCAAGCCTAGCTACAAATGGTCTGTACTGTCTGTTCCAGCAATGGCAATCAGGTCTTTGTTTCCAAACGTTGTTTGTAACCATCTTGTAACCCTATCTTTGTTTCACAAGGTTACATGACCACCTATTTACCACCTTTTGACTCCCTGTTGCTAATGACTGCCTTGAAACATCCCCATTTTCAGCCATGTCACTCTTTCAGGAGCCTGTATTGGACTATTGTGTCATTTATGTTCTGCTCCTGTAACCACACATTTTTCACCTGTCAAGTTCACCATTTAGAAACTCCTTACCCTGAACTTTATAAAAATTTTGTCTCTCTCACCTCCCATGCTGTCCTGTCAAAACCTACCTCAGGGGAGGCAGTTCATGTAACAAATAAAAAAGCGTGCTTTCATTGATTAATTTGGTCATGAAGATTTGGGTCAGTGATGTTTCTCTCCCAGTCTTTGGATTAACATGTACTGAAAATAAGATAATTAAAACTGCTAAACACAAAGTAATTTCAATATTAAAAGTATTTACATATTTCAGAAATAGTGAAATAAAATCTGAAATAGAATGGATTGAAACAAAGGGGGCACTAAATGAACTATGAATAAAATACAGAGAAATGTTATTTACTGAATGATGTGATTGTATACAGGTTTATGATGTCAGTACAAACCAATATAAACACTTATTTATTTTAAAATAAGGCATAGTCTCACAAGTATCCGTAAGTACAGTCCTCTATAACAGTTTTATCTCTGATGTCAGCAAAGATTGTGAGTTGATTTTGATAACTTCATAAGTTCAAAAAATGAAGCTGTAATTGTAGATAACATGTTACAGATCTCTCGTGATTAAGTTGACACACTCTCTAAACAAACTGTTAAACTCCTGGACACTGTAAAGTGTAGTTGTTGGGTTTGCTACAAATCCACTTCCTATGTATGTAGTTCCTTCCACTGCTGATCCCACTGTCAGTCAGGTAGGCATGTTCTCCTTTTCCTCGGGTGGGAAACCTAAAACAAAAAAACAAGCAAAATTTCTGCAGAGTCGACCACTGCATTCCCCCAGCAATGATATCTCACTCGTGTCCACTGCTTGTTTATAGCACGAATCACAGAAAGGCAGAGGCCATGAGGAATCACCAGCGCTAGTGTTACACCTAGTGACTTTTTCATTCTCAGGGTTCCATTTGGTGACCACACCTTTCTCACTCATCCATGTGTAACCATGTACTGTGTGTACAAAGCATTTGACTGCTGCTCTCTGCCATGTTCACATGAACTTCATTCAGCCATGGGTAGCATCACAAGGGTGGTTTTCAATTCTATCTTGAAGAATTTCTCACATGTATGAAGCTGGGAGAAAATGCATTTAGTAAATTCTAAAGGTCTTTACTGATGGATATTCACTGTTCCAGAGAAATGGGTCTGTTCAAAATGGCTACGCTCACATCCAGGTGTTGTCCTGGGTGCTCTTTGATGATGAGAATTTAGAGAAGGTCCCCAATACCCATGGAATCCCTGCTTCTGTGACAGGAGCAGCTATGCACACAGCTGTCTGACAAGTCCTGTCCAGCAGTTCTGCAGTGGCTTCCTGGGGTTTCAGAACCCTTAGTGGCCATCAGCAGTTTGGTCTGCATTCTACAAGGGCAGTTATCAGCAAGGAGAGATTTCTAAGTGCTGAGAGCAGACAGCATCTACCCCAGATGCCATCACCAGGCTAAAGATTTAGAGTGAAACACTAGGTGACTCTGACAGATGTAAATTTACCAGATTGTCGATACTGGGGACTCCATGTAACACACAACCAGACCCAAGGCACACCTCCAGCCTAAGGGTTTCTCCCTTTCCAGTTCAGTTCTCTTCACATTACTCAGCCTTTCACCTTTCACAACCACAACTCACACAATCACAGCACATAAACACAGTAGGAGGAAAAGCATTCTGAACACATACAAGTTGTTATATTCAGTGTTGTCTGTCCACATCCAAGGCTGCTCTGATGACTCTCTGTGCAGGCCTATCCAGGCAGCAAAATCCCCCTTGCATCTATTCAGGAAATTCTGTCAAAAACACAGAAAGCAAATGCGTGTGTCTCTCAGTTTCACACAAAAGTCTCTGCCCTACAGCCTTCTCTCAAGATGGCAGCAGCTTTGAACTGAGGGTCATCAACTTTGGAGCCTAAATAACCCTCAGTTCTCAATGGATGCATTTTACAGCCATAATCCATAGAACACTGACAGCCACCCTTCCTTCTGTGGCTGAGAAAGTCCCTTGTTAAGTCTGTATTTACAGTTACTAGCAGTTGTCACCTTAAGTTTGCATCACCTGCTGGCTCAAAGACTTCAATAACAACCATGCTTCTCAAAAGCATGTTTGGCCTTGCACGTTGTCTATGAGCACTACAGGAGAAAATATCTTTGGAATGTCTCAGGAATACAGCCAGATGTGTTACCATCACAATGGCACATGCTAATATGTACCCCAAGTTCCCCAATGCCTAGGGTGGGAACCTTCCTCATGTTTCAGGTTTAAGCTGTCTTTCTCAAGGCAATACATATTCCACAGGAACAAACAACAAACCAACTCCCGATCCTTTCTTACCAGCTCCTCCAGGCTGTCAAAGTGAGTAAGATGGGCCCCCAGCTCCATGCAGGAAGTCTGGCTGGATGTCCAGTCACTTGTGTGTTCAGAAAAATAAAAACATTTACTTCCAAATGCAATCCAGTCTCTTGGGCAGGTAACATAGCCAGCTTCAGGGCTCGCAATAGCCATATTTTCTTTTCTCACTAGAATATACACAGTGCAAATACACATCATTAATAATTATTTCTGTGTCGCATCTCTTTGGCTAAGCATTCACTCTCCACTGTGAGCTGTGTGTTTGACTGTAGCTTTCATTACTGATCACTAAGAGACTCCTCCTAGCATGGTGGTCTCCCACCAAGAACCTTCATTTGGGGTCTCTAAGGAAATGCTTCTCTTGTTTGTATATTGAGTTTGCGGACAGAATCTCTCTATGTCTTCTTGCCTGGCCTGGATCTCACTCTGTGGTCTATACTTGTCTGGATTTTATAGTAATCCTCCTGAGAGTGCCTCCTGAGTGCAGAGACTGAAGACACCATACCCCGAACAAAATCATAGTCATTACTCCATGAGGACTTTTCCTGATTGCTGGAATCCTACAGGTTCCTTTCCTATGATCCTGCTTCACATCCTGCTTTTGTAATGACCCAATGAAGAGAACTTCTCACCTCTCTGAATTTAACTATGGAGACATACCAGCATGCAAAACATGGCATGGTCTAATCATTTCTTGATACCAGAACTTTGATCAAGACCTTCCTGTTATCATATACCCACATTAAATTCACATGAATATATGCTGGCTCTCGTTAGAGGCTGTCAGAATGGCAATTATCAAGAAAGCTCACAGCAGATGTCAGAACTCTGCAGAAATTGGGAGACTTATTTATTGCTGGTGGGATTATAAACTGATACACCCAGTATGGAGGCTCCTTTAAAAAGTTAAAACAGACCTTTTGTGACTCAGATATGCCACTCCTGGGCACATGTGAGAGAACACTACATCATAGCACAGAGACCTGCACATCCATGTCTACTGCTGCCCCATGTACAATAGCAGCAAAAGGGACCTGACCTAGATGTCCAACGGATAATGAAAATGTGGTACATGTGTAACACAGAAAGTTATTCAGGCATAAAGAAATTGAAACTTGTAGAAAAGTGTGGGATCTACAAAGTATAATATTAAATAAGGACACACAAACTCAGCGAGAAATAGACCTCACATACTCCCTCATATGCTTGTCCCAGCCTGGGACGCACAGTGTGAACAGCTGTGAGTGTGGGAAGGAAGGACAGGATGTAGCAAGAGCCCAAAGTAATAAAAAAAAAAAGTTATAAACAGCATTGCTTTTCTAGTTTCAACTTTGCTGTTATTTCTTCTAATTTGTGGCTGATAAGTGTATTAAAATGTAAATACAGTGAAAGTCTAAAACCATAACCAAAGCTCCATGGCTTCAGAATGGCTTTTTTAACTGGTGGAAGTTCGGTGAGATGCACAGGGTTTGAGACTTGGACAGTGTTGGAGTGGCTATGCTAATGGAGCAGTGTGATGTGGTCATTTGTGAGTCTATCACAGTAGAGTGATATTGTGTGTGTGTGTGTGTGTCTGTGTAAGAAGTTCTGAATGCAGGACTGCTTAGAAAAATACCATTTTTCTTTCATACCTTTACCTTTTTCTTCCTTTAACAGGTAAGAATAGACTATATGGCTCTTTGGAAGGGCTATTAGGACTACAAATAAATGATTTGATAAGAAATATTAAATACTAGAAATGATTATCACACACTTATTTTTAGTGGAGGACAATTGGTTGTGATTGTTTCCAGTTCTTATACACACTAAATTCAGGCTTTAATGAAAGGAACAAATGCAACAGGCCCTGAGGGTGACTGTTACATAGAGTCACATGACAGTTTAGATTATGCATACTAAGTCTTGTGGGCAAAAGTTTGTCCATGTTTAGACTGTGTATTATTCATTGGCATAGTTAAAGTTGATTTTATACAACAATATCATGAATTCTTATTCTAGCTACTGCAGAGAAGCTGTATAGACTTAACACATGATTCTGTTTAGTCTAAACTAAAAGCTCAGGAAAAGCATATTTTGGAACATTCTACTTTAAATTTTCAGACCATAGGTGAAGATATTAACTAAAACCATGGATCATGGGGTGGTGAAGTGCTCTGTACCTTCTCCAACTTTATTAATCTTCACTGCCCTCACTGCCCCTAGCTGCAGCAGCTCCCTTGAGGCTCCTACTTGGGTTTTTTCTCCTTGTCCCCTTCCTTGAATTGTTCCCCCAGGATGACATATCTCCTGCATCTCTCTAGAGGGATGCTTCTTCCCAGGGATGCTGAGCCTGGCCTCCTGTGCACACCACAGCCTGAGCTGTTCCTTCACTGTTTCTTCCTGCTAGACCCTAAGTTCCCAGAGAATAGGAACTTCCAGTGTGGTTTCTCTCTGCCCTTCACACAGTGCCTGGCTCACAGTGCTCAGTAAGTGTAACTGACAGTGTGGATGTGGACAGAATGCTGCAGGATCTGGACAATGTCACTCACATGATGATGACAGAGCCACAGAAAGTGCAATCAGAGCTCCAGTGAGGACGATGATCACTGCACAGCAGCAGTAAAGCCTAGCAGGAGACACGGGGGAGATGATTCTGAGACATTGTCCTTGTTGCTCTTTATCTGTAAAATAGAAATATAAGAATGCCTACTTCGAGAATTACATAAGGAAAATAAAAGAATATTAGAACAAAAACACACTTTACACTTGCCACAGCTACCTGAAAAAATGCCTTTTCTTTAAAGAAGACCATGGTCCATAAAAATGGCCAAGGTGGAAATAAGAATAGAGATGTCAGAAACACAACTTGACCCAGAGTCTTCTAGTTACTGAACTAAGAGTAATCTACTGCCTAACCTTGAGGATCCTATGAATCTACGATCTCACTCGCATGCAAGGATGGACCGTACATCCCATGCCATGTGGGTAGATGAGCAAATGTCCAATCCACGAGGGTGGAGGGGACAAAATTCACATGGGAAGAAACTGGCTGCAACCTTTCTAGGGGCAAAATTGACATCCATAGTCCAGAAGCCAAGACTGACTGCCCAGTGCTGTGTGTGATGACAGCTGTGGGAAGCAGTGTCTTCAGTGTACAAGATTGGCTCTGGAGATGGTGTCTTTGTTGCTGGAGCAGAGCTAGGATATGGCAGGGTAGTCTGTTGGGACATTGGTCAGCCTGTTTTTGAGAAAAGAATCATTTGTCTTTTGCTGTCACCTGCAGTGGGCAACGGCAGCTTGGGAGGGAGAACTGCTTCGTTTCAGTATGAAAAGGGAGTTCATTATTGATGTCTCCTTTTGCTTAGGAAACCCCTTTCTCTCCAGAGTAAGGTGTTCCATGTGTTATGCTGCAGATGTATTTGAAACCAGTGTATATGTAAAGATGATTAGGGAAATGGTTTCGGTTATTGGGATAATTAATCGCTCCAATAAGAGTTACAAAAAAGGTAAAAAAAAAAAAAAAAGAAACTGAAAGTCACCTTCCCCTTTGTTAGAGGTGAGATTTGTCAAGGATAGAAACTGAGAAGAATGAAATTTCACGCACTGTAGACCCATGAATTCAGCCTCTGGAAAAACAGGCTGATGATCAAGAAAACTTTGTCCCTGCACCCAAACTAGGCCACAGTTCCTTGGTCGTGTAGCTTACAGATTTAATCACAGGCCCCAGTATGCACCTCGAAGAAACACACTTGTGAAATGAAACTAAATGATGCTATTGTGTGTAGGGGAAAACCGAAGGTTAGCTGACCGCTCCTTTCAAGTTTCTCTAGAGTTGTTGCGGTGCACTCTGTGGATGCAGGAATGGACTAAAGTGCCCATGGTCCACAATCCCAGGGACACACTGCTCTGCCCACACACCCCACTGACACCTTTCTGCCCAGGTCTCTTCTGTCTCAGGTAAGTCTTTTCCTGAAGAGGGAAGCCAATCCCCAGAAGTGCCCTCAGACTTGTGCCCAGAGTCCCAGCACATCACCCCTAGCCCGGGGTTCTCACCTTTCATCTCCTGCAGTTTCACTTTGATGGACAGGCCGCTCAAGTCCTCAGACATGAGTACCTTAGCTCCTGGTTCCACGATTTCCCCATTCACCGGGCTCTCAGGGTAAACTCGCTCAGGTCTTGGCCGACCACTCCAGACCCCTGTGAAGCAAGAGACCACGCCTTCCCCGGCGCAATGAGCCTTCAAGCTCCCGGGTTTAACTCGCCCAGCTCTCCGCTAACCCCAGCCCTGGTCGGAGAAAGAGACCGCGTCTCCCCCGGCACCAAGTGAATCCAGCCGCTTGGGCGCGCAGGATAAAATCACCCAGGTCTCGGCCAACCCCAGCCTTGGGCGGAGCAAGAGACTATGACTGCCTTGGCACATCTTGAGTCCAGCCACTAGGACTCTCAACCCAGGTCACGGCTGCCACTGCCGCCCTGGGCGGAGCAAGAGACCACGCCTCCCCCGGCACATCGTGAGTCCAGCCGCTCTGGCGCTCTGGATAATCTCGCCCAGCTCTTGGCCGGCCACTCCAGTAGTGTGTGGCAAGAGACCACGCCTTCCCCGACACAAGGTGCGGTCAGGCTCCCGGGATAAACTCGCCCAGCTCTCCGCCGACGCCAGCCCTGGGCGGAACAAGAGACCACGCCTGCCTTGGCACCATGTGAATCCAGCCTCTTGGGCGCGCAGGATAAAATCACCCAGGTCTCTGCCTACCACTCCAGCCCGGGGCGGAGCAAGAGACCACTCCTCCCCGGGCACATCCTTAGTCCAGCAGCTAGGACTCTCAGCCCAAGTCTCCGCCGGACACTTTAGCCCTAGGCAGAGCAAGAGACAACGCCTCCCCCGGCGCGATGAGAGTCCAGCCACTTGGGCTCTCAGCCCAGGTCTATGCTGGCCACTGCAGCCCTACGTGGAGCACGAGACCACGCCTCCCCCGGCACAACGTGAGTCTAGCCAATTTGCAACCTCAACCCGCTTCTCTCCACCTGCCAAAGGGCATCAATCATCTGACCCTCTGCATTGTGCCACCACCCACAGCCCGGGTCCATAAAGGATGGCCGTGGTGGAAAGAAGAATAGAGATGCCAGAAACACAACTTGACCCAGGGTCCTTAGTTACTGAACTAAGAGTAATCTACTGCCTAACCTTGAGGATCCCATGAATCTACGATCTCACTCGCATGCAAGGATGGACGGTACATCCCATGCCATGTGGGTAGATGAGCAAATGTCCAATCCACGACGGTGGAGGAGACAAAATTCGCATGGGAAGAAACTGGCTGCAACCTTTCTAGGGGCAAAATTGACATCCATAGTCCAGAAGCCAAGACTGACTGCCCAGTGCTGTGTGTGATGACAGCTGTGGGAAGCAGTGTCTTCAGTGTACTAGATTGGCTCTGGAGATGGTGTCTTTGTTGCTGGAGCAGAGCTAGGATATGGCAGGGTAGTCTGTTGGGACATTGGTCAGCCTGTTTTTGAGAAAAGAATCACTTGTCTTTTGCTGTCACCTGCAGTGGGCAATGGCTGCTTGGGAAGGAGAACTGCTTCGTTTCTGTACGAAGAGGGAGTTCATTATTGATGTCTCCTTTTGCTCAGGAAACCCCTTTCTCTCCAGAGTAAGGTGTTCCCTGTGTTACGCTGCTGATGTAGTTTAAACCAGTGTATATGTAAAGGTGATTAGGGAAATGGTTTAGGTTATTGGGATAATTGCTCCAATACGTGATACAAAAAGGAACTAAAAAGTCACCTTCCCCTTTGTTAGAGGTGAGATTTCTCAAGGAGAGAAACTGAGAAGAATGAACTTTCAAGCACTTTAGACCCATGATTTCTGCCTCTGGAATGACAGGCTGATCACCAAGAAAACTTTGTCCCTGCACCCAAACTAGGCCACAGTTCCTTGGTCATGTAGCTTACAGAATTAATCACAGGCCCCAGTATCCACCTTGAAGAAACACACTTGTGAAATGAAATTAAAGGACGCTATTGTGTGTCAAGGAAAACTGAAGGTTATCTGACCGCTCCTTTCAAGTTTCTCTAGAGTTTTTGCGGTTTACTTTGTGGATGCAGGAATGGACTAAAGTGCCCATGGTCCACAATCCCAGGGACACACTGCTCTGCCCACAAACCCCACTGACACCTTTCTGCCCAGGTCTCTTCTGTCTCAGGTAAGTCTTTCCCTGAAGAGGGAGGCCCACCCCCAGGAAGCGCCACCAGACTTGTGCCCAGTGTCCCAGCACATCACCCCTAGCCTCGGGCTCTCACTTGTTATCTCCTGCAGCTCCCCTTTGATGGACAGGCTGCCCAAGTCCTCAGACATGAGTACCTTAGCTCCTGACTCTACGATTTCCCCATTCAAGGGGCTCTCAGGATAAACACGCCCAGGTTTTGGCTGACCACTCCAGCCCTTGTGCGGAGCAAGAGATCACACCTTCCCCGTTGCAAAGGGCGGTTCAGGCTCCAGGGATAAACTTGCCCAGGTCTCTGCAAGCCCCAGCCCTGGGCAGAGCACAAGACCATGCCTCCTCTGAGCCAAATAAAAGGCTGTGATTTATTATTAGTAAGTATGGAGCAGCCTGACCCTTGGTGGAGGGAGAGTTAGGAAATCTTAGTGCCTGATGAGGCTCTTGAGAGAGTGTGTACTGAGCATGTGTAGGGGGCTGTGAGGTGAGATTTTCTTTTTCTCAGGGAGAAGCAATTCCACTGTGGCCAGGGTCTAGGGGCAAATGTCCAGCCTACAGTAACTATGCCTAGCTGTTTAGAGAAATAAACCATTGGTAATATGTGTCCTCTCACAACTTTTGGCAATGTGTTTTGAGGACTTGTCCTTGGTTAGAATGTGAAAGACTAGTGTGGAAGCCAGAGGACAGACTTAAATGTGTTTGTGGAGGAAAGGAGGGATGGAGGGGGAGGGTGACTGCTCTAGGTGCCCCTTAGTGCCATGATAGAGAGGCTGGGCAGCAAGGGAAATGTTGAGGGTCCCTCTGCAGAGGAATTAAAGAGGCCCAGTAATGCAAGCAGCTCACATTTGGTTTGTGGGTGGGGAAGGCATGAGTTCCTCTAACCTGACTCTAGGAATAGTTCTCTTTGTCCTGAGAGTGACAGACCCTGATAGGTGACTGATGGCTGGGCAGATCTGGGCCTTGTCTCTGGAAATCTTATAGTCACCAGAGTCCAGTTAAGAAGGGTCATGGAGTGTTGGAGATCGGTCTGTGGAGAAGGCTGCATAAGTGGAGATCGTCTGCATAGTGGAGAAGGAGATGAGGGGACGAGGCCAGGTTGGTGAGGTCCTTCTGTAAGACCTGGCCAAAGTAGTGGGGCTGTCTCAGAATCCCTGGAGCAAAACCATCCAGGTGAGATGCTGAGCAGGCAGGGGGTCTACATCCTCCCATGTGAAGGCTAAAGGGGCTTGGAAGGATGGGTGCAGAGGGATAGTAAAGAAGTCATCTTTAAGATCAAAGATAGGAAAGATGGCAACAGAGTAGGTGATTGAGGGATGGCTTATGAATGGCTTAGCATCCACAGGGAAGGTGTGAACAATTAATTGCCTGGGTGGTTTTCTTTTTTGTTGTTGTTTTGTTTGTTTGTTTATTGAGATAGGGTTTTTCTGTGTAGCTTTGGTGCTGGTCCTGGAACTAGCTCTTGTAGACCAGGCTGGCCTTCAACGCTCAGAGATCAGCCTTCCTCTGCCTCTAGAGTGCTGGGATCACCACTGACTGGCAACTAGGGTGTTTATCTGGAAGTCCTGGACCAGGTGATAAGCACACTTGTGCTTATTAACACCTATTTGGGGGCATTATGGAGAGAGCTAGTGAGAGTGTGAAAGGGCTGCTTGCATAGATCAGGGAAGCAGTCAAGCTCAGCCATGGAAATCTGCAAGCCTGGGGTGGGAAGTCTTCAGGAGATGGAGAGTGCTGAGTCAAAGAAAGCAGGTTTAGGATTTGGAATAATATCCAGGAAAAACATAAGAGAAACCCTGTGTTCAAAAAAAAGGGAAGAAATAAAGGAGGGGCCCCTGGAGGTGTCATACAGGCAAGGGAACCCCATGAAGAGATAAGAATGAAAGCCCATGCAGATTGACTTCATCAATCTGCATCAGACTTCAGGAAGTCTAATAACAGGTGGTTTAATCCCAATACATTTAATTCCAGTATAGTTTGGAAAAGAGCTTCCTGCTGTCATACAATCCCCTTTGCACAAGGAAGCTGTTGGAGGAGGGCTCACCCACTGACAAGAAATGGATAAGCTGGACACAGAAGAAAATTACTGACAAGCTGCCAATACAGGCTGAACTGTCTTTGAAATTTAAGATGGGCATCAAAGAGGCTCCTTATGGAGTTCACTAGCCATTTGGGTAAGAAATTGCTCCTGCCTGGACTACTGAACTGGACATGCAGAACCCGCAGAGAACTGACTGGTAAACTTGTGTAAAGGTGAGATGATCCTTCGGGGTTCCTGCTTCGTGAAAGAGTCTGGGAGACATTCTGCAAGATACAGAAGAAAATGACTGAACTGTCTTTGAAATGTCCTGTTTCATGGAAAAAGTCTGCCGGATACTATGTGCCTGTAGGCTGAAGATGGATGCCCCAACAGTATTGAAGAGCACTGGGTGACTGTCCAGGTAGCAAGTTGTCTCTGTCATTTCTAGAGCTATGGAAGTTGCTTACAATGCACTTCCTGTTTTCTTAGGTAATATTATATCCGTCTGGAGTCTTTGATGGAGTTAAAAAATTTATATAGTTATACTTTTTCTTAGATATGATAAAAGGTAAAATAGATATAAATATTGTAACTGTAGTTTGTGCTTGATATATGTTTTGTTATATGTAATTTTACTATGTTAAAATTAAAGCCTTCCTTTTGTTTAAACAGAAAAGGGAAAATAGTGTGGGAGGTCTTTCTGTCTATGTGTTGCTTTTATTGATTAATGAAAAAAGATCTGCTTTAGACCTATAGCTAGGCAGAACTTAGGTAGGCAGGGAAAGCTAGACTGAATACTGTAAAAAGGAAGGCAGAGAGGGAGATGCCATGGAGCCGCTACCAGAGGCAGACATGCCAATACTTTAGTCCCTAAGCCACTGCATGTGGCAAACACAGATTAATGGAGATGGGTTAAATTAATATATACTAGTTAGCCAATAAGTAGATAGAGCTAATGGGCCACTTATATTGGTTTATTAAAACCCTGACTGGCCAGTAGCCAGGCAGAAAGTATAAACAGGACAACTAGAACAGGAGAATTCTGGGAAGAGGAAAGCCTCAGTCTGCAGTTGTCATTCAGACCCAGAGAAAGCAGGGTAAGAATGTGTCACTGATAAAAGGTCCCAAGCCACGTGGCTAACACAGAAAAGAATTATGGGTTAATTTAAGATGTAAGAGTTAGTTAATAAGAAGCCTGAGCCAATAGGCCAACCAATTTATAAATAATGTAGGCCTCTGAGTGTTTCTTTGTGATTGAATGGCTGCAGGGCAGGGCAGAAACCTCTGTCAACAACCAGCTAATGTGGTATAAAAAGCAAGATCCCCTGAAGCAATGGCCCAGATGGTACAAATACCATGACAACTTTAGGACTGCTCACTGACATGAACCTACCACACAGGATACCCCATGAAAGACCTGATTAACAGCGCTCCCATTAACATGAAGTAGTCTGGAGAACAATGCCCAAATTCCCTAAATGATTGTTTATAAATGTTTGTTTACATTTATAGGGGTATATGCTATAGAGATGAATACTTTGCATTGGTATGGATATTGGTTTATTGATACAGATTTAAGATCAAATTTGTTATTTATACATTTCTACTCTTGATTAAGGTAGTTTTTGCAGTTGATTTTAAAATGTAATGTATGCTTAGAAATACACTTTAATAGTCATCTGTAATAGTCAAGCTTGTATTCAAGTTATTAGGTTTTATAGATGTACAGAGATATATTTCAGATTTATAGGTATTCTTCAAACCTTTCAAGGACTTAAATAATACGGCATTTAGATGTTTTAAGAACTTAGGTCTTTTAATGACAATGAGAAACATCTGCTCCTAGCAGCAGCAATCTACCTCAAGAGGATGATGGTCATAGAAGATGCTCCTTATGGAGTTTGTTAACCATTTGGGGAAGAAGCTGCTCTCACCTGGACTGATTGATGTATGATGTATGAACTTGACATTTAGAAGCCACAGAAAAATGACTGCTGAACTTTCCTAAAAGTGAGATAGTCCTTCAGGGTTCCTGCTTCATGAACAAGTCAGCCAGACATTCTGTAGGATACAGAAGAAAATGACTAGAACACTGCCTGTAGAGGTAAAACACCTTTCAAATTTCCTGCTTCATGGAAAAGTCTGCCAGATACTATGGCCCACAGGCTAAAGATGGATTCCCAAATATTACAGAAGAGCTTTGGGTGACTGCCCAGGCAGTGAGATGTCTCTGTTAATTTTAGAGTTTTGGAAGTTGCTTAAAAAGTGCTTCCTGTTTACTTAGGTAATATATCCTTCTGGAGACTTTGATGGAGTTGAAGAATAAATGGTTATAATTATAGTTTTCCTTAGTTATGATAAAGGATAAAGTAGATATAAATATTATAATGGTATTTTTTACTTGATACATGTTTTTTATATGTAGTTTTACTATGTTAAAGTTAAAATTTCCTTTTTACTTAACAGAAGCAGTCTACACCTACACCTGTATGCTTAACATTCCTGTATTCTCTGGAGATCTGTGGACTTAAGGACCTTCATGCTATATTTCCAACAGAAAGAGAAAGAGAGAGAGAGAGAGAGAGAGAGAGAGAGAGAGAGAGAGAGAGAGAGAGAGAGAATAAATAAAAGGAGGGAAGAAAAACTCTGCTTCCTGAGTTAGGAAATTGTTTGTTAGGAGGCAGAATAGAGAAACAGGGACAATGATGTGGACACGAGAAGGAAAGGAAAAAAAACTGCTTGCTCTTTTAGACAAGGTGAGAAGACACACTTGAAGACACAGAAGCTGAGAGAACTAACCATCCCCTTAACACAGAAAGCATGAACACACCCAGGATCTCCTCCCCTAATGCAGTCCCTTTCAGATCCCACTGCTAAGCCTGCCTGCAAGGACACCCACCCCTACTCAGTCTGACTGCTTCCCTGGTCTCTACATCAGTGTGATTTTCTTATTCTTATCTATTCTGTCCTCTGTTATGGAAACTGCCCTCCACCTGACCTGCACCCTCTTTTTTCTTTTCTTTCTCTCAAATGTCAATGAGATAGTCCTGAAGTTATTGTCTGACACCGTTTTTCAATTCTTTTATCTTTTTATCTATAAAATTAGGAACTCACATAGGTACCTTAGATTCCAGGGTAATATCTTAGGTGTTCATAGGTAAGCTCTTGGTCTCTTTCTTCAGACTTTTCTTTAACTGCTGTTTTTAGCTTTCATGTTTTAGAGACTGAAGTGACAAACATCGCACCCCATGGACAAGATTGTCAACAGTCATGACTCAATGACATGCAATGGCTCCTAGGGTTAAATAAATAGTAACACAAGGTTCTTCTGGGCTACAGCAGGAAAACTCCCTTCCAACAAACTCAATGCCTCCAAACCTAGCAGTTGCCCATTGGAAGATTTTTTTGTGTTGTTTTATTTCTAGGATTTTTTTTTCTGGCTTAAGTATTCTGCCTCCCTGGGAAAACGAAAGGGGTCTCTTTTCCCATCCCTCCTTCAGGACACTTTTCTCTTCCCCCTTATGGACACTTTCTCCCCTCTGCCTTGAGGACAAGGATGGAACAAGATTACCTGGAAAGGCATGCTTTCTTCTGTTCTTGTCCCACCGACATCTGCGGAAAAGATGGGCTGGACATGCAAGGTGTGGATTAAGAATTATATCTTGGCCTCTCCCCTTCCACATGGCTCTATGTGTGTTTGGTTCCCTTACACTTGCTACATGTATATTTCCTTTTTAACCAAGAGGAACATACCTCGGTAATGTTTTCTGGGGTCCCTGCTGGTGATAAGGTCTGTTCATTTCTTCTACTGGATCAAAAAAGTAATATCGGCCTTCAAATTTTGAGTTCTTTTGTTTTTGAAATGTTACTTTGCATAATATATGCCGTGTCCTGAAGGAAATAGGGAGATTCTTTTGTGAATATCCACCTCGTTAGTGGCCAGCAGATTTATTGTGTGATGGCAGAAGAGCGGGGAATCCTCCCAAAATATCTAGATACTTACAGAAAGTAAATTCACAGTATACCTCGGACAATCCTACCTTAAATAAGCGTTAAAAGTTAAAACTAAAGATATAAAGCTTGGTCCCTGCAAACGAAAGTAACTCCAGAGTCATAGTCTTTGTTTAGGAGCAAAAAATGTGACATACAGGCTAGCTTCGAATTCAGATACTGCTAACTCTGCCTCTTCAGCATATGATACTGGCCTGGGCCACCAGAACAGACTGTAACTGTATGTTGAAGCACAGGGCTGGGCGCCCCCTCGCGCTCCTTCCGAGTATCGCACTCCCTCATGCCCTGCCAGCTCCCAGGCCAGGACTAGTCTGCTCTAAACCACACCCCAGGCTTGCAGCCCTCTACACTCTTCCTCTGCCCTGGTGCCCCACATTCACAGAGCGAGATCAGAGCTCAGACAAAGGCTGCATATGGAGATGGCCTGTTGGGACCTCAACATTGAAACCCTTGTCACTGAATTCTAAGTGCACAGACTACAGGAGAGGCCAATTCGGGCTGGGAAGACATCTCAACAGGAACAGTAGTGCCTGAAGACTCAGGGTCCTTGCCCAGTGGAGTGACAACAGCAGAAGCAAGGATAAAGTAGACACAGCTCGAGGATTTTCCAACAACTAGCTAGGCCTCATCTCAGAAAGCTGCCCTCACCTCAGAGCAAGGCTGTGAAATTAGGAAGTCATGTGTGGATTAGTTCATTGGTGGAGGCTGAGCCTTCATGATCCAATCCCCCTCACTGCATCCATCAACTTAGACCTAGCACAACAGAGGCCATATAGGACTATCTCCTGTGCCCATGAGTTCAGGTCATGTGACTCCTGCAGTCAGCTGTAGGAATGTCTCACTGCTGGGTGTTTTAAGAACCAGGATGCACTTTCCTTAACTTTCTTCACCTAAGCAGACAATGCTGCAGGTTCTGCCATCTTCTGTGGATCGTGTAGTGAAACAGAGGCAAAGCAGAGCCTCCAAGCAACCTCAGTGGGCACAGTGTGTGATTCCTATGTATTAGAAAGGAAGTCTCCGGTCTCCCTGCTTTGTCTTTCTCTCCCTGCACTCTCCCTGCCTCTTTCTCTGACACTCTTCCCTGTGTGTGTGTGTGTGTGTGTGTGAGTGTGTGTGTGTGTGTGTGTGTGTGTGTGCAAACATGCATGCTCTCTGTATCAACCTCAGAACCTCACCAGCAGGGTCTGTTTTTGTTTATCTTGGTCATTCTGACTTGTATACAATGAAATCTCAATGTAATATTGATTTACATTGCCCTGATAACTATGGATATTGACCATATCTTTATATGTTTCTCAACCATTTGTGTCTTTTTGAGAACAGAGAATTGTCCTTTCAAGACTTGTGAAGGATTGGGTTGGGATATTGATGGGGAGTGCGTAGATTGCTCTATGGAGAAGATCCATTTTCATTACATCAGTCCTACCAATCCCTGAGCATGCAGGAACTTTCTATTTTCTTATACCTTCTTCAATTTCTTTCTGCAGTGTTTTAAGGGTTTTTTTTATCATAGAATTCTTTCACTTGTTTGGTTAGAATTATGACAAGATGTTTTAAATTTTTAAGGCTTTTATGAAACATATCGCTTCTATGCCAAACACGAAGTGATTTTAATAGGAGAAAGTATTTATTTATTTATTTGAAAATAGTGAAATAAAATAAAAAATAAAATGGATTGAAATAAAGGAAGCACTATATGAATTATGAATAGAACACAGAGAAATGTTATTTTACTGAATAATGTGATTGTAATTCAGGTTATAATGTGAGTACAAACCCATACCAAACACTTATTTAATTTAGAATCACCCATAGTCTCCCAAGTACCCGTAAGTATAGTCCTCTATGATAGTTTTCATCAGCACAGATTTTGAGTTAATTTTGATAAAATTACATAAGTTTTTTGGTTTTTTTTGTTTTGTTTTGTTTTTTGTTTTTTCAAGACAGGGTTTCTCTGTGGCTTTGGAGCCTGTCCTGGAACTAGCTCTGTAGACCAGGCTGGTCTCGAACTCACAGAGATCCGCCTGCCTCTGCCTCCCGAGTGCTGGGATTAAAGGCGTGCGCCACCATCGCCAGGCGTAAAATTACGTAAGTTAAAGAAATAAACCTGAAGCTGTAGATAACATGTTACAGATCTCTCATGATGACTTTGACACACTCTCTACACAAGCTGTTTGCTGTAGGAATACCTGCAGCCAGTAGCATTTAAGTTACCCACCCTCTTGGGCGTGGCCTCATATACTATATATGCTGATTTCAAGCTTGCATTCAGCATCTCTCCTTGTTTTCCAGATGCTGGAATCACTTGCTGTGTCCTGTTGGAGCAGAACATTAGATCTGTGGGACTATCCCTAAAAAATAACCTTTTATTATACTAAATTCTGAGCTAGTGTGGGACTTCTTCTTTACTGTCCTTCATCAATTGTGAAACTTCTGGACACTGTAAAGCATAGCTGTTGGGTTTGCTACAAATCCAATTCCTTCGTATGTTGTTCCTGCCACTGCTGATCCCTCTGTCACTCAGGTAGGCATGTTCTCCTTCTCCTCGGATGAGAATCCTAAAACAAAAAACAAACAAATTTCTGCAGAGTCGGCCACTGCATTCCCCCGGAAATGATATCTCACTCGTGTCCACTGCTTGTTTATAGCACAAATCACAGAAAGGCAGAGACCATGAGGAATCACCAGCACTAGTGTTACATCCAGTGGCTTTTTCATTCTCAGGGCTCCATTTGGTGACCACACCTTTCTTATTCATCCATGTTGGACCCTGTACTGTGTGTACGAAGCATTTGACTGCTGCTCTCTGCCATGTACACATGAACTTCATTCAGCCATGGGTAGCATTGCAAGGAGAGTTTTCAATTCTATCTTGAGAATTTCTCACATATATGAAAGGGGGAGAAAATGTACTTAGTAAATTCTAATGTTCTTTACTGATAGACATTCACTGTTCCAGTGAAATGGGTCTGTTCAAAATGGCTATGCTCACATCCAGGTGCTGTCCTGGGTGCTCTTTGATGATGAGACTTTAGAGAAGGTCCCCAATACCCAATGAGTCTCTGCTACTGTGACAGGAGCAGCTATGCACACAGCTGTATGACAAGTCCTGTCCAGCAGTTGTGCAATGGCTTCCTGGAGTTTCAGAGCCCTTAGTGGCCATCAGGAGTTCTGTCTGCATCCCACAAGAGCAGTTATCAGCAAGGAGAAATTTCCAAGTGCTGAGAGCAGACAGCATCTTCCACAGATGCCATCATGAGGCTAAAGATTTGGAGTGAAACACTAGGTGACTCTGACAGATGTAAATTTACTGGGATGTGGAGTTACTGGGGACTGGCTGTTGCATGTAACACACAACCAGACCCAAGGCACACCTCCAGCACAAGGGTTTCTCCCTTTCCAGTTCAGTTCTCTTCACAAGACTCAGCCTTTCAACTTTCACAACCACAACTCATACAATCACAGCAATTGAACCCAGTAGAAGGAAAAACATTCTGAACACATACAAGTTGTTATATTCAGTGGTGTCTGTCCACATCCAAGGCTGCTCTGATGACTCTCTGTGCAGGCCAATCCAGGCGGTAGAATCCCCCTTATATCTTTGCAGGAAATTCTGTCAAAAACACAGACAGCAAATACATGTGTTTCTCAGCTTCAGATGCCCCTTGAGTCTCTGTTCTACAGTATCCTCTCCAGATGGCAGCAGGTTTGAACTGAGAGTCATCAACTTTGGAGTCTAAATAACTGTCATTTCTCAGTGGATACATTTTACAGCCATAACCCATAGTATACATACAACCACCCATCCTTCTGTGGCTGAGAAACTCCCTTGATAAGTCTGTATTTACAGTTATTAACACTTGTCACCTTAAGTTTGCGACAACTGCCAGCGCGAACAAAGACTTGTATGACAACCATGATTCTCAAATGTATATTTGGCCTTGCAGGTTGACTATTAGCACAACAGGAGAGAGTATCTCTGGAATGTCTCAGGGCCACAGTCAGATGTGTTACCATCACAAATGGCACATGCTAACATGTGGCCTGTATGCCCCAATGTCTAGGGTGGGAAACTTCCTCATGTTTCAGCTTTAAGCTCTCTATCTCAAGGCAATACATATTTCACAGGAGCAAACAACAAACCAACTCCCGATCCTTTCTTACCAGCTCCTCCAGACTGTCAAAGTGAGTTAGATGGGCCCCCAGCTCCATGCAGGAGGTCTGGCTAGATGTCCAGTTACTTGTGTGTTCAGAAAAATAAAAACATTTACTTCCAAATCCAATCCAGTTTCTTGGGCAGGTCCCATTGCCAGCTTCAGGAAATGCAATGGCCCTTTCTTCCTTTCTCACTAGAATGTATACAGTGCAATTACATATCATAGGTAAACACTTCCATGTCTTATCTCTTTGGCTAGGCATTCAATCTCCATTGTGAAGTGTGTGTTTAGACTGTTCTTTTTATTACTGTTCACTAAGAGTCTCCTCCTAGCATGGTAGTCTCCATTCAAGAACCTTCATGTGGGACTCTAAGGAAATGTTTCTTTTCTTTGTATTTCAAGTTTGGGAACAGAATCTCTCTATGCCCCCCTATCAGACTTGGATCTCACTCTGTGGACTATACTTGTCTGGATTTTGTAATAATCCACCTGGCTGTGCCTCCTAAGAGCAGGGCCTAAAGACACCATACCCTGGACAAAATCACAGTCATTACCCCTTGAAGACTCTTCCTGATGGCTGGAATCCTACAGGTTCCTTTCCTATGATCCTGCTTCACATCCTGCTTTTTTTTAATTTATTAGATTTTTAAAAATACCAATCCAAGTTCCCACTCCCTCCCTTCCTCCCATTCCCTCCACACTTTCTCCCAACGCCTCCAATCCTCAGAGATGGTAAGACACATTGCTTTGTGGAAGTTCCAAGGCCGTCCCTACTATATCTAGGCTGAGAAAGATATACATCCAAAGAGAATTGGTTCCCAAAAGGCCAGTACATGCAATAGGGATAAATGCTGGTGTCACTGCCAGTGGCCCCTCAATCTGCCCCAGACATACAACTGTCACCCACATTCAGAGGGACTAGTTTGGTCCTATGCTTGTTCCTTCCCAGCCCGGCTGGAGTTGGTGAGTTCCGATTAGCTCAGGCAGACTGTTTCAGTGGGTGAACCCATCATGGTCTTGGAGCACAGGGGTGAGGAGAGAAGGGAGGGTGAAAGGTGAAAATGGGGGGGAGAGGAGGGTTGAGGAGAACTTAAGGGAATGGGATAGTCGAGATCGAGGAAGGACAGACCAGAGCAAAGAAAGTTATCTTGATTGAGGGAGTCATTATAGGGTTAGTAGAAACCTGTCTCTAGAGTAATTCCTAGGAATACACAAGGCTGACTCCAACTAAGACCCTAAGCAATAGAGGAGAGGGGTCCATTCTTGATTTGCTGTTTAGTCAGACTGATGAATATCTTAAATATCACCACAGAACTTTCATCCAGCAACTGTCAGAAACAGAAACCCACATTGGACACTGGACTAAGCTGCCAAAGTCCAGTTGAAGAGTGGGAGTAATGAGAATACATCCTGCTTTCATAAATACTAGCATGCAAAACAAGGCATGGTCAAATAATTTGCTGATACCAAAACTTTGATTAATGACTTCCTGTTATCATGTACACATAAATTAAATTCATATGAATGTATGCTGGCTCTCATTAGAGGCTGTCAGAATGGCAATTACCAAGAAATCTCACAACAGATGTCAGAACTCTGCAGAAATGGGGATACTTATTTATTGCTGGTGGGAGTATAAACTGAAACATCCAATATGGAAGCTCCTTTAAAAAGAGACAAACAGATCTTTTGTGACTCAGCTATGCCACTCCTGGGCATATGTGAGAGAACACTACATCATAACACAGAGACCTGCACATCCATGTCTACTGCTGCCCTTTGTACAATAGCAGCAAAATGGACCTGACCTAGATGTCCATCAACTGATGAACAGATAATGAAAATATGGTACATGTGTAAAACAGGAAGTTAATCAGACATACAGAAATTGAAACTTGTAGAAAAGTGGGGGACCTACAAAGTATAATATTAAATGAGATCACACAAACTGAGCAAGAAAGAGACCCGTTGCACTCCCTCATATGCTTGTCCCAGCCTGGGACCCACAGTGTGAACAGCTGTGAGTAAGGACACGATGTAACACTTAGGAGAACAAGGACATTGACATAAGGTGACAAAGAAGGACAGGAAGCAAACAAAGGGCCAAAAGTCATAAAAACGTTATAAAGATCAATACTTTTCTAGTTTCAACTTTGCTGTTTTTTCTATATTTTGGCTAATAAGCGTGTAAAAATGTAAATACAATGAAACTCTAAAACCATAACCAAAGCTCCAAGGCTTCAGAGTGGCTATTCTAACTGTTTGGAAGGTCAGTAAGAAGCACAGGGTTTGGGACTTGGTCTTTTTCTTCCTTTAACAGATAAGAATGACTACATGGATCTTTGGAAGGGTCACTAAGGATAGAAATAAATGATTCGATAAGAAATATTAAATACTAGAAATGGCACTCACACACTTATTTTTAGTGGAGAATAAATTGTTGTGACTGTTTTCAGTTCTTATACAGACTACCATGAGGCTTTAATGGAAGGAACCAATGCAACAGGCCCTGACGGTGACTTTTACTTAGAGCCACATGACAGTTTAGATTATACATACTAAGTCTTGTGGCCAAAAGTTTCTCCATGTTTAGAAGGTGTATTATTCATCGACATGGTTAAAGTTGATTTTATAGAACAATATCATGAATCATTACTCCAGCTATGGCAGGGAAGCTGTACAAGACTTTATCACATTATTATGAAAGTCTAAAACTAAAAGCTAAGGAACAGCATATTTCTGGAACACTATTTAATATTTTCAGACCAGAGGAGATGATATTAACTTAAACTATGAATGATGGGGTGGGGTGGTGTTCTGTACCTTCACCAACCATATTCCTCTTCATTGCTCTCACTGCCCCTAGCCTTAGCAGCTTCCTGAATCTCCTCCTTTGGGCTTTTTTTTCTTGTGTTCTGCCTGAATTCTTCCTCCAGGTGGACATGTTTCCTGCATCTCTCTAGAGGGATGCTTCTTCCCAGTGATGCTGAGCCTGGCCTCCTGTGCACACCACAGCCTGTGCTGTTTCTTCACTGCATCTTCCTGCTAGACTCTAAGTTCCCATAGAACAGGAATTACCAGTGTGTTTTCTCTTCTGCCCTTTACACAGTACCTGGCTCACAGTGCTCAGTAAGTGTAACTGACAGTGTGGATGTGGACAGAATGCTGCAGGATCTGGAGAATGTCACTCACCTGACAATGACAGAGCAACAGAAAGTGCAATCACAGCTCCAGTGAGGACGATGATCACTGCATAGCAGCAGTGAAGCCTAGCAGGAGACACAGGGGAGACTATTCTGAGATGTTGTCCTTGTTGCTCTTTATCTGTAAAATACAAATATAAGAATGCCTACTTTGAAAATTACATAAGGAAAATAAAAGAATCTTATAACAAAAACGCACTTTACACTTTGATGTGGGAGTGTCATATATCAATCTGTTGATTTCATTGGTTAAGCAATAAAGAAACTCCTTGGGCCTGATAGGTTAAAACATAGGTGGGAGGATTAAACAGAATAGGATGCTGGGAGGAGGAAGAAGTGAGCTCAGACTCGACAGCTCTGCTCTATGGAGCAGAGGCCCTGCTTCGCTCTCCTGGGCATACACAATGAAGCTCCGACCCAAGATGGACGTAGGTTAGAATCTTCCCAGTAAGCGCACCTTGGGGTGCTTACACACATTATTAGAAATGGGCTAAATTAATATGTGAAAATTAGCCAGTAAGGGCTAGAGCTAGTGGGCCAAGCAGTGTTTAAATGTATACAGTTTGTGTGTTGTTATTCGGGCATAAGCTAGCAGGCGGCTGGGGTGCTGGGGACGCAGCCCCGCCACTCTTATTACAAGAACACTTGCCTACAACTACCTTAAAGATGTTTTTTTCTTTAAAGAAACCCTGGTCCATAAAGAATGGAAATGGTGGAAAGGCCAGATATGCCAAAAACACAACTTGACCCAGGGTCCTTAGTTCCCGAACTAAGAGTAATCTACTGCCTAACCTTGAGGATCCCATGAATCTCAGATCTCACTAGCATGCAAGGATGGACCGTACATCCCATGCCATGTGGGTAGATGAGCAAATGTCTAATCCACAAGGGTGAATGAGACAAAATTCCCATGGGAAGAAACGGGATTCAGCCCTTCTAGGGGCAGAAATGACCTCCATAGTCCAGAAGCCAAGACTGACTGCCCAGTGCTGTGTGTGGTGACAGCTTTGGGAAGCAGTGTCTTCAGTGTACAAGATTGGCTCTGGAGATGGTGTTTTTGTTGTTGGAGCAGAGCTAGGATATGACAGGGCAGTCTGTTGGGACATTGATCAGCCTGTTTTTGAGAAAAGAATCACTTGTCTTTTGCTGTCACCTGCAGTGGGCAATGACAGCTTGGGAAGGAGAACTGCTTCGTTTCTGTATAAAAAGGGAGCTCATTATTGATGTCTCCTTTTGCTCAGGAAACCCCCTTCTCTCCAGAGTAAGGTGTTCCATTTGTTATGCTGCAGATGTATTGAAACCAGTGTATATGTAAAGATGATTAGGGAAATGGTTTAGGTTATTGGGATAATTTCTCCAATAAGAGATACAAAAAAGGCAAAAAGAAACTAAAAGTCACCTTCCCCTTTGTTAGAGGTGAGATTTGTCAAGGATAGAAACTGAGATGAATGAAATTTCAAATACTCTAGACCCATGATTTTTGCCTCTGGAAAAACAGGCTGATGATCAAGAAAACTTTGTCCCTGCACCCAAACTAGGCCACAGTTCCTTGGTCATGTAGCTTACAGAATTAATCACAGGAACCAGTATGCACCTCGAAGAAACAAACTTGTGAAATGAAATTAAAGGATGCTATTGTGTGTAAAGGGAAACCGATGGTTAGCTGACCGCTCCTTTCAAGTTTCTCTAGAGTCGTTGTGGTGCACTCTATGGATGCAGAAATGGACTAAAGTGCCCATAGTCCACAATCCCAGGGACACACTGCTCTGCCCATGAACCCCACTGCCACCTTTCTGCCCAGGACACATCTTTCTCTAGTAAGTCTTTCCCTGAAGAGGGAGGGCAATCCCAGGAAGCGCCCTCAGACTTGTGTCCAGAGTCCCAGCACATCACCCTAGCCCCGGGGTCTCACCTGTCATCTCCTGCAGCTCCCCTTTGATGGACAGGCCGCTCAAGTCCTCAGACATGAGTACCTTAGCTTCTGGCTCCACGATTTCCCCATTCACCGGGCTCTCAGGATAAACTCGCCCAGGTCTCGGCCGACTACTCCAGCCCTGCATGAGGCGAGAGACCAAGCCTTCCCCCGGCGAAACCAGCGGTCAGGCTCTCGGGATAAACTCGTCCCAGTCTCCTCCGACCCCAACCCTGGACAGAGCAAAGGACCACGCCTCTCCCGGCACCATTTGAGTCCAGCCACTCGGGCGCTCAGGATAAACTCGCCCAGGATTCGGCCGACCCCTCCATCCCTGTGTAAGGCACGAGACCACGCATACCCCAGTATAACTTGCAGTCAGGCGCCCTGGATGAACTCGCCCAGGTCTCAACCTACCCCAGCCCTGAGCTTAGTAAGAGAGCATGCCTTCCCCTGCACCTTGTGAGTCCAGCCGCTTGGGCGCTAGGGATAAACTCCCCAAAGTCTCTGCCAATCACGTCAGCCCTGGGCGGAGCAAGAGACCACGCCTCCCACGGCAAAAACGTCAGTCCAGCAGCAAAGGCTCTCAGCCCAAGTCTTGGCCGGACACTGCAACCCAGGGCAAGGCAAGAGACCACACCTCCCCCGGCACTATTTGAGTGCAGCAGCTCGGGCGCTCCGGAAATTCGCCCAGGTCTCTGCGGACCACTCCAGCCCTGGGCGGAGCAAGAGACCACACCTCCCCAGGCAGTCCAGTGAGTCCAGCCTCTTGGGCGCTCAGGATAAACTAGCCCGCCCCCGGCTCCACGTGAGTGCAGCCGCTCGGGTGCTCAGGATAAACTCGCCCAGGTCTCGGCGTACCACTCCAGGCTTGGCGGAGCAAGAGACCACGCTTCCCCCGGGACAACTTCAGTCCAACATCTCGGGCGCTCAGGATGAACTCGCCCAGGTCTCGGCCGACCACTCCAGCCCTGTGTAAGGCAAGAGACCACGCCTTCCCCGGCACTTCGTGCGGTCAGGCACCCTGGATAAACTCACCCATGTCTCTGCAGACCCCAGCACTGGGCGTAGCTAGAGAACACTCCTCTCCAGGCACCAAGTGAGTCTAGCCCCTTGGGCGGTCAGGATAAAATCGCCCAGGTCTGGGCCCACCACGCCAGCCGTGGGCGGAGCAAAAGACCACGCCTCCCCTTTCAAAAACGTCAGGAAGCTGGGCCTCTCAGCCCAAGTCTTGACTGGACACTTCAACCCAGGGCGGAGCAAGAGACCACGACTCCCCCGGAAGCACGTGAATCCAGCCGCTTGGGCGATCAGAATAAAGTAGCCCAGGGCTCTGCCGACCACGCCAGCCCTGGGTGGAGCAAGAGACCACGCCACCCCGGCAAAACGTCAGGCAGGCAGCAAGGGCTCTCAGCCCAAGTCTCGGCCTGACACTGCAACCCAGAGCCGAGCAAGAGACCACGCCTCCCCCGGCACCATTTGCGTGCAGCAGCTCGGGCGCTCCGAAAAAATTCGCCCAGTCCTCGGCGGACCACTCCAGCCCTGGGCGGAGCAAGAGACCACGCTTCCCCCGGGACAACTTCAGTCCAACATCTCGGGCGCTCAGGATGAACTCGCCCAGGTCTCTGCCGGCCACTCCAGCACTGTGTGAGGCACAGGACCACGCCTTCCCCGCATAAGGAGGGGTCAAGCGCCCGGGATAATCTCGCCCAGGTCTCTGCCGACCACTGCTGCCCAGGATGGAGCAAGAGACGACACCTCCCCCAGCACAAAGTGCGTCTAGCCAATTTGCAACCTCAACCCGCTTCTCTCCACCTGCCAAAGGGCATCAATCATCTGACCCTCTGCATTGTGCCACCACCCACAGCCCGGGTCCATAAAGGATGGCCGTGGTGGAAAGAAGAATAGAGGTGCCAGAAACACAGCTTGACCCAGGGTCCTCTAGTTACTGAACTAAGAGTAATCTACCGCCTATGGGCAGCAAGTCATCTGGTCCTATGGCTCCTGCCACCACTCACAGCCTCCAGCTGCCTTCTCAAGTGTGGGTGGCCTGGCAGAGAGCAAGGGAGGAGCAGAGGGAGGAAATGCTCGGGAAGCAATTCACTGAGGGCATCTGAAAGCCAAAAGTGTGTAAACAGACATGCCTACAAACAGAGCACACTGTTAGAAGAGATTTTTGTCTTAGGTATAACAGGAATAAGAGGAAAATAAAAACCAAGGAAGAAATAAAAGGAAGAACATCTGAAATAATTAGAAAGGGGACAACTGGTAAGACATAGAAAGGGGGAAACAACAGGATAAAAGAACAGAACAGGCCAGGCAGTGCAGGTGCACACTTCATTCCCAGCACCCGGGAGGCAAAAGCATGTAGATTTCCATGAGTTCAAGACCAGCCTGGTCTACAGTTCCAGTTCCACGACAGCCAAGGCTGTTACACAAGGGAAACTCTGTCTTGAAAAACCATAAATAAATAAGTAAATGAATAAATTAGAAAAAAAAGAGTAGGAAGAGGAAGAACAACCAACAGAGAGAAAAATAAAATGAAGAATTAAGCTTTGGCCTCAGATACAGTTCCCGTGTGTGTCTGGGCAGCAGTCCAATAGTTTATCTACCCACATCTTTTTTCCAGCTTCTCTGACTTCCTGGGAGTCTGCTGAGGACTGGGCCCCTTGGCAGCAGGGTTCCCTTGAAGTACAGCACATCCTGAGTAAGGGGTTTATTTTAGGCTGTTCCCATCTGTAAAACAATCTGGGGCTTTTTCAGGGGGTGATGAATATATGGGCAAAAAAATCAGAACACAGAGCAAGTGTCTCAAAGAGGAGGGAAGGAGGTCAGAGGATGTGAAGGGGTTATTGGAGAAGTGTTGTGGGGTGGATAGTGGGCTTGGCCAAAATAAAAGGCTGTGATTTATTATTACTAAGTATGGAGCAGCTCTGGATAGAGGGAAAGTTAGGAAATCTCAGTGAGTGATGAGGCCCTTGAGTGAGTATGTACTGACCATGGGTAGAGGCTGTAAGGTGAGATTTTGTTGGCTTTGGGGAGAAGCAGTTTTACTGTGGCCAGGATCTAGAGGCAAATGTCCAGCCTACAGTGACTATGTCTAGATGTTTAGAGAAGTAAACCATGGGGTAATATGTGTCCCCTCCCAATTTTTGGCAAAGTGTTTGGAAAACTTGATCTTGGTTAGCATGTGAAAGGCTAGTGTGGAAGCCAGAGGACAGATTTAAGTGTGTTTATGGGGGAAAGGAGGGTTTGAGGGGGAGGGTGACTGCTCTAGGGGCCCCTTAGTGCCATGATAGAGAGCTGAGCAGCAAGGGAAATGTTGAGGGTCCCTCTGCAGAGGAAGTAAAGAGGTCTGGTGATGCAAGCAGCTCATATTTGGTTTGAGGGTGGGGATGGCAAGGAGTTCCTCTAACCTGGCTCTGGGTATCATTCTCCCTCTCGTGAGATACATAGGCCCAGGTAGGTGACTGATGGCTGGCAGATCTTGGCCTTGACTCTGGAAATCTTATAGCCACCAGAGTCCAGTTAAGAGGGTCATAGAATGTGTGAGATTGGTCTGTGGTGAAGGCTGCATAAGTGGAGATTGTCTGCATAGTGGAGAAGGAGATGAGGGGACGAGTCCAGGTTGGTGGGGTCCTTCTGTAAGGCCTGGCCAAAGCAGTGGGGCTGTCTCAGAATCCCTGGAGCAAAACCATCCAGGTGAAATGCTGGGCAGAGTGTCTATGTCCTCCCATGTGTGAAAGCAAAAACGGCTTGAGAGGATGGGTGGAGAGGAGTAGTAAGGAAGCCATCTTTAAGATCATAGATAGAAAAGATGGCAGCAGAGGAGGGGATGGAGTGGTGGCTTGTGAATGGCTGAGCAAACACAGGGAAGGTGTGAAAAATTAATTGCCTGGGTAGTTTTCTTTTTTTGTTGCTGTTTTGTTTTGTATATTTGGTTGTCTCAAGGATTTTCTGTGTAGCTTTGTTGCCTGTCCTGGAACTAGCTCTTGTAGACCAGGCTGGCTTCAAACTCTCAGAGATCCCCCTGCCTCTGCTTCCAGAGTCCTGAGATTAAAGGTCCACCTTGCCTGACAACCTGGGTGTTTTTCTAGAAGTCCTGGAGTAAGTGATAAGCACACTTGGGTTTATTAACACCTAGTTGGGGGCATTATGGAGAGAGCTAGTGAGAGTGTGAAAGGGCTGCTTGCAGAGACCAGGGAAGCAGTCAAGCTCAGCCATGGAAATCTACAAGCATGGGGGTGGGAAGTCTTCAGGAGATGGAGAGTGCTGAGTCAAAGAAAGCAGGTTTAGGATTTGGGTCAGCATCCAAAGAAAGATATAAAAGAAACCTTGTCTTTAAAAAAAATGAAAGAAAAGAAGGAAACGGGAGCAGGGGCCTGCATGTGTGATCCAGGGAAGGGAACCCCATGAAGAGATAAGAATGAAAAGCCATGCAGATTGACTTCATCAATCTGCATCAGACTTCAGGAAGTCTAATAACAGGTGGTTTAATCCCAATACATTTAAGTCCAGTATAGTTTGGAAAAGAGCTTCCTGGTGTGATACAATCCTCATCTCTCAAGGAAGCACAATTACATTGAGATTCAACTCAGGAAGGATGTCATTTCTTCTAAGAATATATGTTCTAGAAATAGGCTACCTGTGCTAACTTAAGGGCCTAAGCCTCTGCCCTATTCTCATTCATAAGAATAGTGTAGAGATCATTTGGGCTGTGAGACAGATCTAGTCCTGGTTGTTGGAACTTGGTGGAGTCTCTGGCTATTAGTCACCTCCAGTCTTGGTGTAAGATCTCGATATGACTTGACCCACCAGATAACACAGACCACCAGGCTGTTAATCGTTAATCACTTCCAATTCCCAGCTTCACAGAGAGAGACAGAGAGAGGGAGAGAGAAAGAGAAGAAGAAGAAGAAGAAGAAGAAGAAGAAGAAGAAGAAGAAGAAGAAGAAGAAGAAGAAGAAGAAGAAGAAGAAGAAGAAGGCTCTGCTTTCAGGGAAACAGGGACAATGATGGGGACACGAGAGGGAAAGGAAAAAGAACTGCTTGCTCTTTTAGACAAGGTGAGAAAACACACTTGAAGACACAGAAGCTGAGAGAACTAACCATCCCCTTAACATAGAAAGCATGAACACACCCAGGAATCCCCTCCCCTAATGGGGTCCCTTTTAGATCCCACTGCTAAGCCTCTTGCAAGGACGCCCACCCCCATGCAGCTGCTGGCAGACTCCCACTGCCCAGCCTGACAGCTTCCCTGGTCTCTAAATCAGCATAACTTTCTTATTCTAATTTATTCTTTCCTCTGTTCTGGAACTGTCTTCCACCTGACCTGGGTCCTCTTTTTTCTTTCCTCTCTCTCTCAAATGTCGATGAGATAGTCCTGAAGTTTTTGTCTGAACCCTTTTTTAATTCTTTTATCTTTTTATCAACGAAACTATGAACTCACATAGGTGCCATAGGTTCCAGGTAATATCTTGGGTGTTCATAGGTAAGCTCTTGGTCTCTTTCTTCAGACTTTTCTTTAACTGCTGTTTTTAGCTATCATGTTTTGGAGATTGAACTGATAAACATCACACCCAGGGGCAAGATGGTTGACAGTCATGACTTAATGACATGCAAGGGCTCCTAGTGGTAAATAAATAGCAACACAAGGTTCCTCTGGACTACAGCAGCAAAACTTCCTTCAAACAAACTAACTGCCAAGGGCCACAGTGGTTGCCCATTGGAGAGTTTCATTTCTGTGGTTTTATTCCTAAAATGGTTTTTTCTTGCTTTAGTATTCTGCCCACCTGGGAGAAGGAAAGGGGTCCTTTTCCCTCTCTACCTGAGGACACATTCTTACTTGTCTTTGAGAACAAGGACAGGACAAGATTACTATGTGGAAAGGCTTTCTTTTTTCTTGTCCCACGATCATTTGAGGGCGGGTGGCCTGGAGATGTGAGGAGTGGTTATAAATTGTTACTCACTCTCTTCCTGCCACAGGGCTCTATGTGTGTTTCTGGTCTCTTACTGTTGCTCCACGTGTATACCCATGATAACCAAGAGGAGTGAGTGGCTACACCCCAGTAGTGTTTTCTGGGGTCCCTACTGGTGATAAGGTCGGTTCATTTCTTCTACTGGATCAAAAAAGTAATAACAGACTTTAAATTTTTAGTTCTTCCATTTTTGAAATGTTGCTTTGCATAATATATACCATGTCCTGAGGGAAATCAAGAGATTCCATTGTGAACATTCACCTTCTTTGTGACCATCAGAAGTATTGTGTGGTGGAGGGAGGGTAGGGAATCCTTCCAAAATCTCTAGGTACTTACAAGAAGTAATTCATGGTATACCTGAGAGAGGCAATCCTACCTTCACTACGCATTAAAAGTTAAAACTAAAGATATAAAGTTTGCTTCCTGCCAACGAAAGTAACTCGAGAGTTGTAGTCAGTGTATCTGTATTTGGGAGCAAAAAAAATGTGCAGTCCAGGCTGACCTCAGTTCAGACACTTCTGCCTCTGCCTCTATAATATCCTACCTGCCTGTGCCACCACAAATTGCAGTAGGTCTATTTGCGATTTTTGGAGTTGAAGCTTCTTGATGGCATAAGTTGCTCAGGAGTTCTTCACTGTATTTACAGAGGTAGAAACGAGGGCCTGCCCCCCCCCCCCCCCCCCCCCCCCCCCCCCCCCCCCCCCCCCCCCCCCCCCCCCCCCCCCCCCCCCCCCCCCCCCCCCGCCCCGTGCTTCTTCCAGGGAAACACACTCCCAGGCCAGGACAAGTCTGCTCTACCCTACAGCCCACACTTGCATCCCTGTGCTCTCTTGCTCTTCCTCTGCCCTGGGCACCACATTCACAGCGGGAGATCAGTGCTCAGAGGAAGGCTGCACACAGAGGTGGCATTCCTCAGGGGTGAATCACAGATCTCAAAACTCAATCCTCAGGAAACTGCTGGGGCCACCACACTGGGACTCTTGACACTGACTTCTAAGTGCAGGACTATTGGAGAGGCCAGTTTAGGTTGGGAAGAGATTTCATAGGGACACTAGTGCATGAGCGCTCATGGTCCTTACCCAGTGTAGTAACAACAGCCAAACCAAGGATTAGACAGACACAGCTCCAGAGTCTTCCAACAGCTAGGCCTTGTCTCAGAAATTTGCCCTTACCTCACAGGAAGGCTTTCAAATTAGGAAGCCATGTGTTATTAATTTATTTGTGGAGGCTACATCCTCATGATCCAATGTTCCTAACTGACAGTACCGAAAAGCTGAGACCTAGCCTCCCCTGCTTGGCTTCTGCAAGGCACTAGACATCTGAACACAACAGAGGCCATATAGGACTATCCCCTGTGCCCATGAGTTCAGACCGTGTGACTCCTGCAGTCAACTGTAGGATTGTCTCACTGCTGGGGGTTTTATGAACCAGGGTGTAATTTCCTTGACTTCTTTACCAAAGCAGACAGTGTTGCAGGTCCTGCCATCTTCCTGTGGATCGTGGA